TCTCATGGGCTGGGAAATTCCTGGAGATTTGGGGGTGGAGTTTGGGATGGATGGGGTTTGGGGAAGGGAGGGACCTCCGCAGGGATATGACGCTATGCCGTGCCCCCTCCAAAGCAGCCATTTCCTCCAGGAAACCGATCTCTGTAGTCTGGAGAGCAGTTGTTATTCTTGGGGACCTCCAGGCCCTAGCTGGAGGTTGGCAACCCTAACTTGTCTACTACTCACATGGTCTACAGGCATGTGTAAAACTAGCCTTTGCTGTTTCTTAACCTTTGTCAAGCCGACAGGCCTCTTATTGCGGGTGTTCTTCTTTTGTATTTAAGGCTTCCATCAACACAGGTCTCAATTTCCCACAGTGCAATTGGCAGACTGCTGATTTCCTGAACACTCGACACATCTTTACTGGCTTCACAGCCACAGTGACAGTCCAGAAACGTAGCTGGTCACCACACCTTAAAAAGGATATTATAGCTTTGGAAAAAGTGCAGAAAAGGGCAACTCGGATGATAAAAGGGTTGGAACACTTTCCCTATGAGGAAAGGTTAAAGCGCTTAGAGCTCTTTAGCTTGGAGAAACGACGACTGAGGGGTGACATGATTGAGGTTTATAAGATTATGCATGGGAAAGAGCAGGTAGAGAAAGAAATACTTTTCTCCCTTTCTCACCATACAAGAACTCGTGGGCACTCCATGAAATTGTCCATCAGTGGCTATTAGCCACAAGGTATAGATAGGGGCTCTGGGGCAAGTGATGCTGTCTTCTTGGTGCTTGGGGGTGCCATCAGGAGGTCAACAGTGGGAGGGCTTCTAATGTCCTGGCCCCACTGGCGGACCTCCTGATGGCACCTGGTATTTCTGGCCACTGTGTGATACAGAGTGTTGGACGGGATGGGCCTTTGGCCTGATCCAACAGTGGCGTCTCTTATGTTCTTATTATGTTCTTATCCCTGTGACTTTGGTTTTGCAGATCCTAGAACATGAAGTGAGTGGAGGAGAGCTACCCAGGGCCACAAGACAAGCCAACGGATGAGGAGAGATTTGAATCCAGGCCTCTCAGATCCCACGCTTTAGCACTGGACCATCCCATCGTATCAGGCCTCTTGGCCTCAGCTTTGAGAATCCATTCTTGTGCCCTGACCTGAATAGTCCAAATTAGCCCGATCTCATCAGATCTCGGAAGCTAAGCAGGGTCGGCCTTGGCTAGTATTTGGAAGGGCGACCTCCAAGGAATACCAGGCACGTGAAGCAGAGCCAAGCAATGGCAGACCTCCTCTGAAACATCTCTTGTCTTAAAAACAAGTTTAGCTTACCACCTAGTGGTGAATAATGCTAAAGAGCTAGAGCTTCTGGCTGCCAGACAATCTTAGGATCTCCTGGCTATACTACACACAATGCCATAAAGTGATGATGATTATGATGATGATAATCTATTCTTGCTGTAGACATCAGTGACTCAAACAAGCTGTTCTCCAGATTTGTTTGCTTCTGAACCAACAGATGGCTTCCCGTCATGGGTCTTGAAGGGTCCATCTCTTTCCTACCTGCTACAGTCTCCTGATGTCATTTCACTGCCAGGGGCATGGGACACCCCCCACCCCCCCATATCCTGTTACTTTCACTGGAGAGAATGTCCTATGCAGTCACTCCTCCTTGACATACATGTACTCCTAGAACCATTCTACTTGTGCACAATTTGCCGATGAGGACCCACAAACACCTCTGTGGGCGCCTAAAGCCTCAAAACAACCGCCCCTCCATGTTTCTCTGTGGCCCAAGGCAGAGACTAGGAAGGCCTTGGTTTAACTCAGCGGGACTCGTCTTGTGATCCTGTGGAATATCTGTGCTTCTTACAACTTCTGACAACTGATTTCTTAGGAAAAGGGTCCAGATCAGTGTTCCCTCTAAGCTGAGTTAGTGTGAGCCAGCTCACAGTTTTTTAGCCTCCGGCTCACACATTGTTGTCTCAGCTCAGGAAGGAGGGCTCCAGAGCAAACTAATTGATGCAGCGGCCAAATCGCTTGCTCACAACTTTAATGCCAGTCGCTCACAAAGGAGAATTTTTGCTCACAGAACTCCACAGCTTAGAGGGAGCATTGGTCCAGAAGTATTTAATCACACCTTTTGACGTGATTGTCCCAGATCCAATGACTCCAGGAGCCGGAGCTGGCCAAGGAAGTGAAGCCTCCCAGGAGGAGGTTTGGAAGGCTTTTCACCCCATTCCTCTGCCCCCCTCCCTGGCAGCAATGTACAGTTGTACATTGTACAAAGTTCACTCACTTGCATCATGGGGGAATATTTGTGCAACCAGTGCCCGGAATCTGTGGCCCTCATTTGCGTTGTGTGGGCTTTCTTTTAAATAGCTCCATGGAATCTAGATGGCGCACGTTGCTGTAACTGGGGGAAGGAGGCCACTGTTTGGAAGGAGTATTTTTACCTTGGCTGGTGAGATTGTGAACTCCAAGCTCTGTAAATCTACACAGTCTGAAGTCAGCACTAATCTGGGTGGGGGTGGGGGTCAGGGGTGTTCAAGGAAACCACAACAGGAGGAGTGAAATAACTTTCCGAATGAGTGGCAGGACTCGTAGTCTCCAGAAATCTATTAATGGAGCACAGAAGTGGGCACTTTTGGCCGTGTTTGGCCAGCTGTGGGTTCTGCCAGTGCCCCGGAGGAAGAGAGTGGGTGGGCAGCCAATCGGGACCTGGAGATCTGCTTCCGGAGTTGGCCTCCATGACCTACCTGCCCCAGATGGATTGCAGCAACCTGGGAAAGTGGACTTCTGGATGAGAGAGGCCTGAGCTGGGCTGAAAGCCCCTTCCCCGTAACCTCCTCATGGGTCTGTCTTGGGCTCCTGCTTCCCTATGGCGGTGGGGCTGGAAAGCGCCCTCCAGTCGCAGCCATCTGATGGCCACCCCAGAGGGTTTTTAAGGAAGAGACATTCAGAGGTGTTTTTGCCACTGCCTGCCTCTGCAGAGGGCCCCTGGCCTTCCAGGGTGGTCTCCAGCGTTCCCTCTAAGCTGAGTGAGTGTGAGTTAGCACACAGTTTTTCAGCCTCCAGCTCACACATTTCCGCTGACTGAGTGTGAGTTAGCTCACCGTTTTTCAGCCTCCAGCTCACACATTTCCGCTGACTGAGTGTGAGTTAGCTCACCGTTTTGCAGCCTCCAGCTCACACATTTCCGTCTTAGCTCAGGAAGGACGGCTCCAGAGCAAACTGATTTATGCAGGAGCCAAATTGCTCGCTCCCAACTTTAATGCCAGGAGCTCACAAAGTGGAACTTTTGCTCAGAGGGCTCCATAGCTTAGAGGGAGCATTGGTGGTCTCCCATCCAAGACCTAACCAGGGTAGACCCTGCTTAGCTTCCGAGACCTGACAAGACCGGGATAACCTGGGCCATCCAGGTCAGGGCTGCTTTCCTACAGCCTTACGCCAAGGAAGCGACAGCATCTGATTGGCTGCTTCAGATCCTGCCAGGTCCAAGCAGGATACAGATGCTTTCCACCCCAGCCAGCCCCTGCACACACTCTCCCCCGTCACCGGGGCCGGGCACACTCTGCTTCCAAGGCCGGGCCACCTCTGGTGTCCTTCAGAGTCTCTGCTGGGTCCTGATGGCGGTAGGGAGGCTCTCCTTTCCGGGCAGGAGGTGGCAACCTCGCCCAGGATTGATCTCCATGCCTACGGAAGAGGCTGGGCCCCGCATGCCTGCTGCCATCCGGAGGACCAGAGGAAGATGGAGAGAGACAGGAGGGCAGCCCGAGGCTCGTACAGCCTGCTGAATTATTCAGGCCTGGCATTAACTTTGGAGGGAGTGTGTTTGGGCTGATTTTTTTTTTTTTTTTGTGGTTGATGTACAGATAAATGCGAGGGGAAGACAGCTACAAGATTCTCAATAATTAATCAAGGTGCCACTTAACAAAGCTTCCTTGGCACTCACCATCGCCTGGCTTAACGAGACCTAAAAACTTTGCAGGCCCTCCAGATTTGCATCTCATTTGGTCCGGTTTTGTTTTACTGGTGAGCTGCGCGCTTGCCCAGAAGCGTCCTGGACGGCTGGCCGCAGGTCTGGCACGTGGCTCGCCCCGGGCAAGGAGGGGTGCTGCAGCCCAAGCCCATCTGGAGGCCGCCTCTTGACCCACAGAATTCATTTCCCTGCTTGGATCAGTCGGTGGAAAGGGAAAGGCACTTTGCTGATGCTCAGAGGTTCTCCTTCGGTGTCACTGCCTCTCTATGGGAAAGGGGCCTGGGCACCGAACTGTCCCCCAAGCTCAGCCCCAGCCTGACTGGCATCACCCGGGCAGGGCAACTTTAGCACCCGAGGAGTTGGAGTTGGGGGGGGGGGTGTCCCTTCTTTCTAAAGGGGGGTTGGAAGCATTTCCCAGATGCTGCAGCCGTGATGCTGGCTGATAAATGAGACCTGCTCCCCCAGCCCCTTGGCCTTTTCCAGAGGGCCCTCCCTTTGTCTGACACCCTCTCCAGAAACATTCCCCATCACTTCCTTCAGCATAGATGGCACTGACCTAAAATGCGCTGCACACAGATTCAGTCCCCCCCCCCAAGCACACACACTGTCCCAGGCCTCACGACTGCCAGTCCCTGGAGCCCTGACAGATGCCCCTGTGCCCATCATCTTCTAGTGCCCTCTAGCAAGGAAAACCAGCCCAGCGTCTGACAGGTAGCAAATCCAAAGGAAGACACCCGATCCCCTCCTTAGCTCCCTTTGAAGTTTGGGGAAGGGAGATGCTCAAAGCCCCCGGGCTGGGGTGCCAAGTTCGGGAAGCCATTTGGAGGGGTGAGGCTCCCTCCCGCCCACTTTCTCCTTCGCCGGGGGGGAGGGGCGGGCAAGTTTGCAATTAGTCACACAGAGGGTGGGACCCGGACGAGCCCCCTCCCCCTCCCCCCTCCCCCCCTAAGGCGCTGGCGCGTGTCTGTGCGCAGCCCCGGGTACTGATTGCTCCACTCGTAGCCGCAAAAAAAAGACCAAGAAAGAGCCCAGCGAACTGACCAGAAAGAGCCGGGCGGCGGCGGAGGGAAGGAAAGGGAGGGCCCCGCTTCGCTCCCCAAGAGGGGGGGACGCACACGGCCGCTCCAGGCCGGCCCCCGCGGTCCAGGCTGCGCTCCGCCTCGATGTTCCCCCAGCCCGCCGGGCCGGTGCCCGCTCTCTCGGGGCTCCCTTCCCAGGAGAAGCGGCAGTTGCGCTCGGGCCCCTTGGAGGAGTTGCTGCGCCGCCTCGGGCGCCCCGGGAATTGCATCACCACCTGGCGGCCGCTGGCTTCTGCCGCTTCTGGGGGTTCGGGGCTGAGCTGGACGGGGCGGCGATCCCTGGCTTGGCGCCCGCGTCCCCCGACGGCCCCTTGGGAACACCGCGCGCCCTGGCGCAAGGGTACCCCGAGCTCCGGCGCATTCCATCGCTGGGCGCCCGGCAGGCGGCCGCGGACACTCTCCCTCCCTCCCCACACACGCATTGCCCCGGACGGCGGCGGAAAAGTTTGCCCGGCTGCGCTCCCTCGGGCTCGGTCCTGCCGCCCGCCCGGCCGGCCATCCAGCCATCCAGCGCCGGCCGAGGCGAAGCGCAAAGTTTGGCGACCGCTCCCCGCCGCGCGCGCTGCGGACTCACCTTTGCCGAGCATCTTGGAGAGGCGGCGGAGGGCGGGCGGCTCCCCCCTCCCCGGGAGCGCCGCTCACAGCAGACAGCGACGGCCGCGGCGCCTGCTAATCCGAGAGTGGCTCGCCGGAGCGCCGGGCAGCCGCATCGCGCGGCCGGGGAGCGGCTGCGGCTCCCTTGGCTGCCTTCCTGGGCTCGTCCTCCGCCGTCCGCGCCTGGCTGGCCGCTTTTAGCTGGGGGAGCCGCCCCCTCCGGGCTCGGCGGCCGCCTCCTCCTCCTCCTCCCCCTCCCCGCCGCCCTCCGGCTGCGCCTCCGAAGGGCGTCTCGCTGAGCCCCGGCGCGCACCTCCTTCTTCTCTCCGCTGCTCTCCTCTCCCTGCAGCAGCAGCAGCAGCGGCGACGGCTGGGCAGGGCTGGGCTGGGCTGGGCTGGGCCAGGTCCCCCCTCCCTCCCTCCCTCCCGTGCTCCCTCCCCTCCCTCCC